AAAATTTTATAACTTAGTGTGAACAGAACAAATCGCGCTCAAATTTCGCAACGGAACCTCAAAATAGTCAAACTTTACGATAGTGGTGTCAGTTGCTAGATTGCTACACTAGTGTTTCCAAATCCCGAAATATAAAAGGCATCCCTCGTAGTAGAACCTCAGAAGAAATCAAGTCAACGATTAGAGCAGTAACTATTTCTGATGATTTCACAGAGAGTGAGATTGTTTTAGGTGTGCAGATCTACAATTCACCCTATACTTACGTAAGTGCTGATCCTGACCAAGTAGCCGTGCAAAAGGAATCGCTGAGTCGTCTCGAATACATCGACATTCTCTACGCCGGCTATGATGGGTATGTTTTGTCCGTTCCGGTATCACACTGTTATATTTTTATCCCTCTGCACAACATAGCTGATAGTTATACGTTGATTTTGCTGACTATGTATGTCTTTCGCCTGAAGGAAAATCCGAGCACATATTGAAGCCAGCTCGTTCAGTTTTTTCCCAATGGATCTCGCTTTTTATTGCTATACTGTTTTTATTGTTATACTTCAGCTAGGTGGTCTGATTACAAAGTCGAGCATCCGAAGTTGAGCGAAATTTGACCTTTCACTTTAGTTTTGTCACGATTTTTCTTCAAGCGATTTCGAATATGCTCTCAAAGACTAACTGGGTCGTAGTAATATGACCGCCATACCTTATAAGCCCACTTCCATGGATCCTCATCATTCCTCTCCCTCACGCTCGGATACCGTTATAAACAATCTTGCTATCCTTTCTACTTGCGCCTAACCATCAATCGTCAATTTTCTGCGGAAATTATGACCAAGGAGATACTGTGATTAAAACCTTTCAAGCAAATTGTTTCAACAATTTTTGAGAAAGTGTCGATGTGGGAGAGAGTTATGCTCTCCTGCTCCAGTTCTAGCGCAGAATATGAGTTCGCGAAGAGATTATTACTGTGCTTCTCAGGGCAACAAAGAACACGACATCGGCGCTGTGGATTGAAGGTGTTTCTCCCCTAATGAATGGGCTTCGAATAGAAAGGAGCGCGCGAGACGGCCTTTATATCTATGAGCCTTCCGGTCGGTTTCTCTTTCTTAAAATTAGCCTCCCTTCTTCGACAGTCCTCTGTGAACACCGTATGTAGTTTGCGTTTTTTTAGGACCAGTACTAATAGCGAATTCAACATTTTCATGGAACAGAGGGCATGGGATCATTGTGGACAACACCACCGATGGACGAGTTTTTATAAATATGACCAGAATTGAAAATAACTTTGGCGATGGCATATGGTATCGGCAGAAAACCGGATCGAATCTGCTAACGCATGGAATCAGTGGGTTGTAAAAATTCGTTTCGTAGAGACCTTCCCATAGGCGTGGGTCTTCCAGGATCCAGGAGAGACCTCGGAGTTTTCGCTGAGGAGAAACCTCGAGCTGACATTTGCCGTCAGCACTCGCTACCATCACAGTACTTCTTTCCACATCTACTTATGGCTCGTCTAGATAATGGAACACTTTACGATCCTACCAGTCCCCCCTCTTGTTGGATAGTAAGTTATTCAGAGAAGGAGCTGTAATTCCTCCTAGTAAGTACTAATACTACTTTGTTTGAGGCAATTTCGTTACCACCACGCCTCGCCTACACGTTCTCGCTGCAGTTCGTGAATGTTCGCAATTTTAATCCTCCTGGAACTTCTACAACAAATCTCGTTGTGTGTGATGCGACACAAGAACGCAATGCGTGTGCTCTCGAGCGTCTACGTATTCCTATTCTGGATGGGATCTACCCACAGACGATAAGTTTGAGGTGAGTCAGGTATCAAAACTTTATGTATGAACTGATAAAGCATTCCTGTCAATCGAAGCAAAGTTGTGAAGTAACATGAGAGGTTTCTCGATCAGATTGGCTTTTTAGCGCACCAGTTTGTTGGCTCTGGCAATCTGATTATGATTACTTCAGCATTTCTTTTCAAACTGATTTCAAGTACATACATATATGCGAGAGTCTGAAGAACCTTGTGAGAATCAGAAAGTGTCATGAATTTTCGGCACTCTAGCCTTGGATATCACATAACTACGCCAAGATGGTTAGCCTCACTGAAGTTTTCGAAGTTTCGCACTCATCATAATTCGCTTTTTAGCACAAGCGTACCCTCGGCATAAAGCGAATTTAGATGTCTTCGAGCTCGTTGCCCTTGAAGCGCAACTCAAAATGGACTTTTTGTCACATGTCCGTCAAAGGGCAGCTTTGCAGACGGTCCAGTAGCTAAGAAGTTCGCGACTTAGTTTCGCGACAGGCCTTTTCAACTGGGAGCTCGTCCTTGTCCTACTCACCCAAGCCACCGAACAATCCTTCTTGGTTTCTAACATAAGGTAGGATGCAATTGGGAATTCTTGGCTTTTATAGAGCCAAGTCCTTTACCAGGCATGGAACTGGGAGCCCGACAACAATGTCCTTGGCTAGTGGTTCACCTTAATATCGCTTCTCAGGAACATGCTATTCTAATATACGTCTTCCATTATCTTTCATTCCTTATACTCCTTATCTTTCGTTTGATGCAGAAATGTGCGTTCGAAGGTACATTCGTGCCAGCAGAATACACCTTTCGCTAGAGGAATTCCCTGGGAGTGGTTTTCGTGGTGTTTGGGAAGTTACTATTTTATAAGTTCGAATTCTAGTAATATTTTACATTCAAGCACGAAAGCAGTCTGCTTCATTTCAATTTTAACCACGAATTAATCGAATTAATTCAATCCATTCAGAAGTGGCGCAACTCCTCTGTTTCTGGCGTTGGAATACCAGCAAGAAGGAAACGTCGCTGGATACATCATCGGTGACGTTGAGGTGCTTTTCAAGGTTCACGCTAGTGTTACTGGTAAGCGAAATCAACCGACATTCTGTTTTTAACTGATGGACTCGGAGGTTCTTTCAGACAAAGCTTTCTATGGCCTAAACGTTACCAATTCAATTATTAATGGAAACACTGGAAATGGTATATTTGGCCATGATATCCGCGAAAGAACTGCGCTCTCAAATGTGACCCTGAATTCCAATCAAGGATTGGCCGGATTCCTTATTAAGGTTGAATTCGTCAAATGATGACATTTGTACCGATCAAATATGGTACTCTTTAGGACGGAGCTGCCGATATTTGGCTGAACGACACGAGAATCCAGGAGAACTGGGGCGATGGCGTGAACATCAGCTATGCGGGAGGTGCGATCACTATCAACGGCACCCGATTGGAAAGAAATCGTTGGAGAGGTTTGTCCAGGTCTCAGCTCTGCTCCAGTTGATCTCGCTGCTATGCCATGTTTACAGGAGCTGCTTTTCATTACAACGACTCATCCCCTTTCCTGGCTCTTCATCAAGAGATTGTCTTCAAAGGAAGACCATCGAACAACATCTTTTACCTACCGACCATTGTTGCTGGCAACAAATGGGGCGGTGTTCTTGTGGGGAACTTCTGCCTTCCAGCTTATCGCAATATCGAGCCAAAGGTCTCTAAATGCTACTCTTTTGCGTATTATGTACACAACTTTTTTCACCTTTTTACATACATACTTGTTTTCCAAACCCCTCACTCCATTATTTCTCATTTTCAATCTTTCCATGGTTCCAAGGTTTGAAGAAAGTTTTTTTTTATGTAATCAAGGTTCATGGGCTGAACTGACCTTCAGCCTGAACACTCTGAACGAGTCCAGAGACAAATGTTCCGCTGATTTCATCAAATTCTAGTTCACCACAGCATAACTGAACATGTTGTCAATTTCCATTACTCGAGCTTTCTTAAATGTTCACAAATTCGTACTGGTTGCTTGGCATAATGGTTGACAATGCCGCTAATCACTCGGACAGTCCACCAGATCAAGTACCTTTCAAAGGCACCATTCACGATAATTTCGGTAACTCGGCGAATTTGTTTGATATAAGCCTTTCCTAAAAGTGGTGAAAATAGGGGTTGTACGCACAAGATTGGCTTGATCAAGAAATGCTATGGAAAAGGTATTTGGAGGAGATCTTGCACTTGTCGCAAAGGCGTAAGGAATTGGCTACATTAAATGAACAGTTCACGGCAATTCTGCTTCAAAAATAGGGCAAATGTTGGGAAGAACCTAAAGATATAGAATGTGTATTCAGAGAAGTATGGGGGTTCAAAAAAGTGGCGAAATCATGGATTGGGACAAATGGAAATGAGACGACAAATATAAATAAATAAATAAATAGGGGTATTGGACGACTTCTCCGAATGTGTTTGCTATTGCGTACACCTGGCTACAGCAAGCTGCCAGCGTGCGACGTATGCGCTCTGGCGTGAGTGGTGCGTTCTCTCCACCCTGTTCAACGCCGTAATAGATTGTGCGCCTTGGTTGTGCATGTCTGGCAAGCCGGTTATGGGTCCATGTTGTGCCTAGCAAGCCGTTGTTAGGCACGACAGCGTCCCTTGTGGCAATTTTGGGATCAAAAGTCCATGCCAGAGAGAAAGCTCTTGAGACGGGCAGTAGGGATGGTTTTCTGTAATCGATTCGCCGCATGCCGTTATTACAGCTCTAGCGTTCTTCCTACACCTCAATCGATATGCGATGGTTATTTTAGGCATGATTCTACTATTAGCTCCTTTGTTCCTGTATTTCTTGCCTGCTGCTGCATCCTGCTACATTCCTTCGCGCGCGGCGTCCCTCTTGCCGCGACGCGACAATTTCGTTCCTATTGCACCACACCCAGAAATCTCAAGAGCAGTTTTTCCGTGCACTGTGCCTTCTAGTCGAAAACGATCGAAATTGCCTTCATCTGTCGCCACGAGTCACATCTAGTTGTTCTGATTTCCAGCATGAATGGAAAACCAATCACCCTTTCGAGTTATTAATCTCATACTTTCTGGAGGCAATTCATGTTTAAGCTTTCCTCCTTCATCGTGTATGGGTATCTTCTGTGAAAACGAAATCCATTTGGTCTTGGGAAAAAAGTTTTTTTCCTGAATCCGCAATTTTCAGGTGTTGATCAATTGGGTTGAGTTTCTCAGCAACTCCTATCACCCCGCTTTGGAGATTCACTGCTGCCAAGGGTATGGTCATGCACGAACAGTTGTTGACATTACTGGAAATCGGATCGAAGGTAAGTAATGTACGGACATTGAATTTGTCCTGGATCATATTCCATGGCTGGGTAAATGGATTAGACCTTCATCGTGGTTTTCTCTTTATTCACGACTCCTAAATAACAATTGCTACAATTTTTCCCTTTGGTGCTTATTTATACTCCTCTGTTCAGGAAATGGTGGGATGGGATTCCGGATGGCTCCGTCAGTGAACGTACTTGCCTACATCAATAGTAATCAGTTCCTGAACAACAATGACACAGCCCTGTTCATCAAAAACGCCAACCATCCACAGCTATGGCCACTCAGAGCAAATGTGAGCTGAGCCAGCAATAGCTGGCATTTTATCATGCATTGTTTACAAGTTAGGGACCATTGTAGGCCCTGTGGGCGCTCAACTCTCATATGCGACGTCAGAGCTATTGTTTTTAGGTGACGATTTCGAAGAATGCTTTCAAATTCAATCGAGGAAAGNGCTATGGCCACTCAGAGCAAATGTGAGCTGAGCCAGCAATAGCTGGCATTTTATCATGCATTGTTTACAACTGGACGAAGTTAGGGACCATTGTAGGCCCTGTGGGCGCTCAACTCTCCTATGCGACGTCAGAGCTATTGTTTTTAGGTGACGATTTCGAAGAATGCTTTCAAGTTCAATCGAGGAAAGTACATTATTTCCATTGGGCTGAACGAGGACTCTCCTGTACAACAACTGATCTTCAACCAACAGAACGAAGTTCGTTCTTTCAATTTTCATTCTCAAAAATGTAGAAGGACGAGACACAGTTGACATGCTTTTCATTTCTAGATCCGTGAGAATGTTGTTATCAACCCGTTCCCAGAACTCCAACCACGTTCCACTCCCTACGCAGCCATGGTCGTTTCCAGCAGGTACTATTTGAGAGGTTGCGGATGCAAGATGTTCAGTTCGCCTTTTCAGTAATGTGATTATCCGTCGAAACTGCTTCAAAAACCCCCAAGCTGTCTACGAGATTGGCGCTGAGCTTGGCGAACACGCCAAGAGGATTGACGCTCGGGAAAACAACTGGGGATCGCCGTCACCGTCACAGTTCATGAACAAAATCTTCGACCAGGTCAGTTGATAATTATTTGGTCTTCACAGCCATGCTTTTCTCGCCTTGAAAAAGCCTTCCACCTGCCTTTCTTAGTAATAAGAGGTAGATAACCTATGAGAATCATCCCACAGGAGTTTTTAAGCGGAGCTCAACCTCTTTCCATCCCTCCCTATTTTCAGCTTGGAGAGGGAGCTCATATGTGGGCAAATGTTTGATCTGCAGACTATCTAACCTATACTTATTTCAGTTCAACCGTTACTCGCTGGCAGAAATAGTTGTTGGACCGTACGCTGCTGTTTGCAATCAAAGAAATCCCCACATCACCGCTCTGCAGGAGTTTTTTCGCGAGTTTCGCAAGGAATCTCAGCCTTTTGTTCTTGGTGGAACCATTTACGAGAATCACGACTTGGTACCTGGCAGGTAAGTTACGGTTTCCCACTGGTTATCAACGCCATGTATAGTTTGTGCAAGCCGAACGATCCAGAATTGCATCACCAGAAGTAGCAAAAATGCGGAAAAAAGATAGTATCGATCCTAAAAAATAGCTGCAAAATTTTGGTCTAAAAAGCAAATTCATCAATAACAGTTTGTTGAAAAAGTTCTGAAAACTTTCATCGGAAGAGTAACTAGCTTTCTACATGGGGCCTCCTTCCTTACAATTAGAGTAGGGTCTTATCATTAGCATGTTCGGCTTATATTTGTACCCACAAATGCTTATAAATTTGGTGATTGTTGAATCCGCGGATACGGGAATAATGGAACGTTTTACATGTCCTCCTCAAAGAGTACAAATGACCAATTTAGGTACACTGTAGTCGATGATTTGCATGTGGTTCCCGGAGCAAAATTGACCATAGCACCTGGCTCCACTCTCGAATTCTACGACGGCGTTGGAATGCTCGTCCAGGTGTGTCGATTTTCGGTATCATAAACAATTTTCCTGATGGAATTCAAATTTTTATAGGGTGAATTATCAAGAACGGAGTTCTTCGGTCCCGAAAAGCAAGTAGTTTTCACGAGCAAACCGTTCACACTTGCCAAGAATAAGAATATTCGATTGGTCGACGACGATGGAAATGATGAAGTGACAGAGGGACGACTAGAGGTCAGACCTCCAACATAAATCTCTTTTCACTATCGACAAAGTGCGGTATGAGCTTCGAGTAAGACTTGATTCAGCCCAAGGTGGGTGACTAAAAAGAGCGTGTAGTACCAACCGTGCAGGCAATAAACTCAAACAGCATATAGACAGAGTATATTTCAATTCGACTTCTTTCTGAGGAAGTGAACAAATAAAAGTTGTGCTACTTCTTTACTTTCCAATCCCTCTCCCTTTTTCTATTCCCTCTCCCTCTCTATCCCTTGGCTTTCTTCTTCCTTTAGCTCCCCCTCCCACAAGAAAAGAACAATCTAGAACTGGATTTCATTATACGCTTAATTTTACTCAACCGGAATTCAACTGGTTCGGATTGCAGGCCTTTGTTGATGGCGTGTGGGGTACAGTGTGCAATCGAACCTGGTCAGCGCAATTGGCGCAGCTTTCCTGCAACCAGCTCGGCTTGATAACCGATCCGGAATTCTTCGAAAACTGGAGGATATTTCGTTCTCAAGGAGATCTGCCAATGATCATGGATAACATTCGTTGCGAGGAAAATGAGGTATTCTAAATCGGCAGCTCTTATTACGTTTTCACCATTTTCCTTTTGCATTTGTTTTATGCCAACTCATGATTTGTAGGTGGATTTGACCCGATGTCGCCATGATGGTGTCGACCACAACGTAGCCGCGGGTTGTCGTCCCACTGAAGTAGTCGGTCCGTGCTTCTTTGACTTAAAAGTTCTGTTTCTATCCTTTAGGCTTTCTTTTTCAGCTATACGATGCGCTGAACCTCGCTGGGCTGGCGTGCGCTACTCTCTGCTTGCAAATCCGCCAACCTTTACCGGGCAGACCACCATGAGCAACTGGATTATTGAAAAGGTTGGCTGCTTTTTTCAACAAACTTCTCAATAAAGATCCTTGAAAGAATCTGGATCGTAGCCGTAATCTGCGCACAATTGCGGGGATGTCGCCTATTGTGCAGAATTCATGTCTCAAGAACGGACTCGACAGCCTCTCAGCCTCAGTTTCCGTTACCTTGTATAACAGCTGGTAACCAGAGGTTTATTAGCAAGTTTCACCGTAAAGTCGGTGACTTATCAATAACTGAAAATATTTGATGACCCACAACGAACAGCTTAAACCTGCTGTAGAGCACAATCGGTGGTCGAAAGAGAAAGGTACAAAACGATTTATTTTCGAAGTCAAGGTCTTTTATTCAATGTCCCATCACCACTAAAGTTGTAAACAGTGCAGGAAGGGATGGAGGAACAAGGAAGACAGTTGTATGTGAGATGATAGAGGCACGACCATCCGCGACGCAACCATCGCTACTCATTTCCCACATCTGAATTAGACAAAGTTTTCCCTGTCTTTTCCCTAGCGTGAAGTAGTTTAGGGTATTCTTTTATGGGTATTATTGACCATTGGAAAAGACAACCGCTTTCATCTTTTAATATTGTTGATGCTAAGCAAATTTGGCCTCGGGATTGAATTCATTTCTGTGCTTCCCATGCACCGAGTTTTCTATCCAGAAAAAGCATGTATTTCTGTTATGTTCTTTGTTTTAAATTGCGTTATTTCTACTTTAAGGCTGGTTTGTTCGATTTCCGAGTGCCAGTGTTCTCCCCTGCTCTTCAAATCGACTGGAACTACCACGTTTTCCACGATCTCCACATCAGAGTGCGTCAATATTCCAATCCGAGTTTTGTTTTTGTCTCTTCTCCTTCAAAAGCTCTTCTCTGCAGAATAACTTCTGGAATGGCATCGATATCGTCTACAATGATCTCATAAAAAAACCTGCTATCCGAAAAAGCATAGTGACGAACAACCGTCGTAATGGAATGCATTTGAGATCGGTCGGAATTACATTAGAGGAAGTTCGTGATTTCGCCATTGTTGTGGCATCTCTTTATGCAAAGGTTATCATTGCAGATGACCCTTACTCGTGCGGGACAGGCAGGATTGCGGTACAACCCGCAGATTTCATCTTCACTGCAGAATGACATCGTCTCGTGGCTTGATATGAGGGAACAACCCGAACTTGAAGCGAACAACGTCTACATCATACCGAACGAGGCTTATAGGACTATACAGGTCAGTCAACCGAAAGTGGGCGGGATACCATTGGCAGCAGGCCAGCCATTTGGATCAGGGAGTTAAGTGGGGATTTTCTAAGTCCGCCAGAAAGAGCAAAATACCAAACACATTAGTGCATACAGCCTTCCCACAACAAATTTCAAAACCAAGTTGCATCTTTTATACTTCTTAATCGCTTTGGTGCGCTCAGTACAGTGAGCATTTACAAATGTCTCAGAACCAAGCCTATGCCAAATTCAATCCCTATTGTATTCTTGCACCTTCAATGATATCCGGACCCTTTTCAGGTTATTGAGAGCCATCTTAATCAAAGAAAATTCCTAGTGGCCAAAGAAACACCGGAATGTCCAGCTGGTGAGCTTCAGTATCAGTACCTCAGGGCACTTTTCAGTTCAAATTCGATGTTTCAGTTCCACTAGAACGATGTGTATTTGAGATGAAGTTGCAAGCCAGTGGCTTCGGCTATGGTCTTCCAGCAAGAATGGCAATACAAGTTAGTATTCTTTCAAAATATCTCTAACTGCTGTGAGGGTGGCTTGAGCTCGCAAAGAGTTCTGAAGGTCGGCTTTATTGGCCCTGTACTTCCGTGAGACCGCCACGATCATCCAATCATTTATTTCCACTGGGTCGAAGCCGCACTAAAAAAACAGCACATCATTTGAAGAAGAGTTTCCATATTTATAAGATAGAGGAAATAGCAAAGGGAATGAAAAAAAGAACGAAAGAAAAATGGTGCATCAATGAGTGGCCAATTTAGAAAAGTAGTTTATTCACCTGAACGGGGGTTATCTCATGCCAAACCAAGAAATTCGAATTTAGTCAAGATTCAGGCCGCAATCATCGTAAGTTGTGGCAGCCAAGCGGTCCTGTAAGCTCTGGTGCTAACAATAAGATAGCCACTGCGAGGGTGGCAATCGCAGCTATGACCAGCAAGCATCATTCCTTTTATGCTACCAACGGGGCCGCCTAAATTCATCTATGCACACTTCAAGAGCTGGATTCTCCAGGAGCTGGTCTCCCTAGACCTCGCAGCAGAACCCATTCGCCTCTTCACAGTTTTGCCATTTTGTTTCTTTCTCTATTAAGTAGCTTACTACCCACACGGTAACCCCCAATTTGGCAGAGGTGACAACAGCGAATTCGTATTAGAGTTGAACATGGTTTGACGGATCGCCAGTGAAACAGTCGAACCATGCTTGACTAAACCTTCCTTCCAACTCTTGGAAGATGTCTGAAAGGAGGGCTTAAACAAAGCAGCTCTCCATGACGGAATTTCCATGGCTATCATGCTTCCCCTCTATCTTACGCGCTTGAGCCCGGAGGGTAAAGTTGCAGTGTGAGTCGAAAGTCCTGCTGTATCTTTCTTCGGAGATGTCTCCAAATGAAGCTATGCACTAGTTTTGCTTCTTTTTCCTTTGCATTCGACAATAATACGAAATGTCATTCATTACGAGTGTTTACCAACAGTTATTAGGACCCCACCCTAATCAGACAAAGGCACCAGCGGGTTACTCTAAGCCTAAAACTTATTCCCTTATGAATTTAACCCGATTTCTAACGGCGTTTGTGCTCAGATTGTCAACCCGGTGTCAAACATCTCGGATGAGGACGCAGTGTTCTATGACGAAGGGAGCGCGAAATCGTTCAGCGTCAGAAGCAACTCTATTCAGGTTTCCATCATCAATTACCTCTTTACTCTAACAATTCCGGGTCTTGCAAAGCAGGCACTTTTCAGTTCCCCGTTGTGTTCAATTCTAACCGAGTTACCATGCAGTATACACGATCTTACGGTACCCCGAAGCTCATCATTCTTGTGCTTTTTCTTGATGGTAGGTAATCTGGTAATTGTTATTTTTTATTTCTTTTGTATACAAGAATGCTACCGGCGTCAAAAGCTGGAAGCAAACGTTTGTAGAAATAGTATTCAGATAAGGTCATTAGGATTTATTGGGACTATTAATGCATGGAAATTGCATAATGCACTATCATTTCAACTGATTGTGCTGAGCTCTTGGTAGGCAGTCAGCAACACACCACTAAAACCTGATGCTGAGCTTCCCTACTATACTAAGGGCGAGTATTCAGAGCATATGACAGGGAATGGCAAAATATTCAAGGCCCGTTCGAGCAAAACGATGTTCACAATTCCATTCAGTAAGAACTCACTTGCAACAGGTGGTGTAGGTCTTCCTGGGTGGAAGCGTCTACTTTGAATGTGTTTCTGGTGAAGTTCTTCGAACCTTTGAAGAGAGTGGCTATGAAAAAGCAGTGGGGTGAAAGTTCCATGAAAGCCTACCAGCAGTTTCACTTAGCAGTAATACTGACCTCGGGCCCATGATAATCACTGCTTTATAGCACAATCCAATGTGTGCAAGCTAACATTTCAGTGACTCCACGCTTGCCACTTTCAAGCGTCAAAGTCCCTGAAAAATCCCAGCAAATTTCGATCAGGGCGGTGGCTATGAAGCGTTTTGGAATTTTTGTCAAGATTTTTCCACTGACCAGACATCGGCTTTTTTTTTGACAGTAACTTCATGTAACTGTTCGAAGCTTGATCTTACTGAGGTTGCGACAGTTGCTTCGCCCATCTCATTTGTTTTCGATGAACTTCCATAAGCTCTTTTCATATCTTTCAACCTAAGCTCTTTTAATGATAGAGTGTGCCTGATCTGTGATATAGCCAAGCACAGACAATTATCCAGTCTAATCCTACTGGAATGCTACTAACAACAAATTTTGAAAGAAGGTCGTTGTTCTTAGGCCTTCGAGCAGAACACAGATTGACTTCATTCATGTTTGTTTCTCTTGTTTTCTCTAAATGGATTGTCCTTACCTCCTTTTACGGCCATTTCAGCTCAAGAATACCTCGACCGGTTTGTTCATCTCTACAATTCCGTTGTCGAAGACAACCAGTACGGCATTTCATCAGTTCACTATAGTAACCTTTCGTATGCTGATGGAACCATAACGAATCGATGGAGCAATGAGAAACTGTGGTTTCAGAAGGTGAGCCTAAAATCTTTCCTCAACTGATTCTGCTATTCTCAAAGTTATGATACGAAACTATGTGCTTCTTCCTCAAAAAAGTTAACGTTAGGAAATATCACGAAGGTCCAGATTTGTCAAGCCGTTTTGCACGTTTCTATAGGAGTGCCTTTAAAAACACTGCTTACTTGTGTGCGCATAATATGTATATCCGATGATGCTTGCCTAGGTTGAGGCTTTTCTTAGACTCTTTCTATTTTTGAAACGCTGGAACCAGGCGTGCTCAAGATCTCTTGGAATTGCCTTCAAACTGTGAATACTGGCGCAGGTTCCGATGAGTTTCACTAGCGTAGCAGCTGGATTCGAACCCTCGAAGAAGTACGTATCGAGCATGAAATGGTAACTACAGGACAACTTGACACACGCTCCACACACGCCTCATTTTAAGATCTGGTCAGTGGCACAAGTCAGATTTGGGAGTTACGTAAACCTGCTGTACAGTTACGACTTTAACGCATACCAACCACCCGTGCGCCTCGCCCAGGGTATCTTTTCATTGCGTCGTATATGCGACAGGTGTTTGGGAGCGCTTGAGTGTGTCTACGGTTTACCCTATGGTACATTCACGAGAATTCAAAATCAGTCTTGGGCCGCGTACATATATGTGGCATAAGAGATTAAACTGATCAATTGGAAAAAATAAACACATAAATCGTAACTTTTTTGAATTTCTTTATTATGTCAGTCCTCAGTATATAAGGAAAAAAGGCAACTTTCATTTATTTAGGTTAATTTCACGCGGAATTCCGATGCTGTCATTTGGATTCATTCACCGCAACACGAAGTTCTACCAAACACTCCCATCTCAGAGGTCTCCCATCTGTTTGCTGACTTTTTTTCATAATGTATTTGTTTCTTTTAAGATCTACTATCATCTGGACAACTGTTCCATAGCCGATAACCATGGGCCAGTAATCGAGACCCACCGGGACTTATTTGCCTCGGCAAACATTTTCCACTGGAATATTTGGTTCGGTTTTGGCCGATGGGTCTTCTCACATAAGCATTGATGTCACTCAGAATGACGCCGTTCAGGTCGAACACTTTCGTGAACAATACCAACAGCGGTGTGGCAGTGCGCCTTCCAGACACCTACGACCTTCTTGCCAAACCTGAACACAGCTTTTGGGTAATTTTTATTCGAGAATGCTTACCCATTACTGCAACCTTCACTATGAACACCTAACAGAGCAACTAGAACTTCTTCTTCCAGATGACTGAGAATCGTTTCGAAAACAATGACAACCTTTACGTATTGCTGGATGGATTTTATGCTTTTGCCAATATCTCGTCGAATAATTTCACCGACAACTACTCAGATAAAGGTCTAATGGAGTTGAGAGGAATGGAGAAGAAACTCGTCATGGAGCGTAATCGTTTTCTCACTAACAAGGTACATATGGGTCTCAGAGAATTTTATGCCACATTTTTTCAAAAAAAATAGATTGGCTTTCCGATTTTTGAACTTTGGGTGGTGTAGTAGCAATGATCAGAACCAACTAAGTAAAAGTAGGCTACATAGGTACATGTTTTTTACCTGAGACGTTTCCAAATTCTAGTTCCCATTTGATTCCTTTCCCTCACCTAGGGAAACCTATTCTAATCGTACTTTGGGAGATGCTAATCTTCCTTCTATCAGCGATAAAACCGAGGGTCAACCACCGAGAAAAATGTGCTTCACTACTAGCCACCATTTCGGAGCTCCAGGTAGAAAAAACTTAGTGGGCCACTGAAAAAGGCTGGAGCGGAGTGAGGCGACTGAATCTGGCCCAATCAACTCTCACCTTCACCTCTTCTGGGTCTCCGACATGGGTCTCCGTTTACTGCCGAGTGATCCCTCTTTGTTGTTCACTACCAGCGGTTCTCCCTCGTAGAAAATTTTCTTTACTGGAGTTCTTTTACGTGCTGGGAGCTGATACGATGATTGTAGCCAAAGCAGTGGACTTGCTCTGGCCACCATTTGTCGTCTCCGTTGTAGCACCGTCAATTTAGTTATTAAATTTACCCACACGAGCGTTCAGGCGCAATGGTTGGTGAGAATTGAGATCACCTCTCAATCTATTCGTAATCTACTTGTCGATGCCTATATCCAATACAATTATTTTCTTCACAACCATTTCATAAAGGTCAGTTTCCTTCTCTTCCATAACTACCAATTATATTTTTTGTAAGGGGTCCAGAGCTAAAAGAGCCCTCATTTTTAGGCGAACGAAGACTATGTGGATTCATGGCCGCGATCTTTCGCAGTAGGAGTGTTTGGTACGCAGAAAGTTGATATCCACTTCAATCAGCTCAGAAATCCTTTACTTGATTTCGAGGTTGTCTCAGGATGCAAGGTACGCCTTCATGTGCTTATGTTTAGAAGTTTAAAACATCCGTTCACTCTCCGCTGCCATGACCTCTTTTGTGCTCTTTTTCTCTTCACTTCCATCATCTTCTTGGAACACACCAAAATCTCGTTGTAGTTGGTATATAGGCTTACTGGATGTTGTCCAAGAACAATCTCGTTCTTTTCGGCTCCCGGCTGTAAGGAAGTTCTTCCAGCAGTAGAGGTTGAGAGTGACGGCGAGCTAACTTTTTCTGACACTTGTCTACTATTTGAAGATGAGCGTTCATCGAAAAAAATGTCCCAGTATCTTATTTTCCACAACAAATTTATATCTGAAATGGAGAAAAAAACAGGAATTAATTATATTTCCTGTTTTCTCTCGTCATGTTTCCACTCAATAGTGTAGGTGGTGAAGTGGCAAGTGGGGCACTATCGCACGCATTGTCCGGGGTGCACCCGCGGCTCGATACCGGCTACGGACGAATAGACCTTCCATCTCTACAGGGCGCGTAGGTGGTACTAAACTCGCGTGCGAGGGTAAGATTTCAACATAGCCTGGAATCATTCCATAGGACCTACGCATCGAAACGTTACCAGTATTCTGGTAGAAGTCAGATGCTGTGGTGCATTCTGGAAGGGACCGGTCAACACCAGAAGACTCTTTTCAACTTACCTACATGAAAAATAGTAACGCCATGGCTGATGTGTAGTTGTAAACTCAATGGACCACTGTCACTCAGAGCAACCAAGCTCTTATGTAGGACATCTTCAGTGAGAAAGGGGTGTCTAAGAAGTAAAAAGTGCTGGTATGAAATTAGTTCGTCTCTCTATATGAGCGATATCCCTTCCGAAAGCCACTATTGTCCAGATGTCGGAACCTGATTTGGTTTGAAAGTGTGATTCGTTGCGAAGAGCTTTTGCCCTCAATTTATCAGAATTCTTTGGCCTTATCCTTGGATTGTCTCCAGTACCAATGACGTTCTTCGTGATCGTAAATTCATTGCATCTTTAGTACATATCGATCTATGACCGAATGAACGTATCGTACAACTGGTGGGGTACAGGCAACGATGCTGAGGTCGCCCAACGAGTGTTCGATTTTGATGATTGGAACACCTTCACCCTGGCAGACTATAGCCCCTTCTATGTCACAAACGAGTTGTTCATAAATTTTTGGTGGAAACCAAGAAAGGCAAGCGTTTTTTTACTCTGAGCTTATATCGACAGTATGTCATAGGGGACTTTCAGGGACAGCTGGCTAACGCCACGTACAGCGAGCCATCGGCACAAGATCTCAAAGGCAGGATGTTTGAATCGAAGAATCTCACTCTAATCAGAGAGCGCTGGCCAGTGTTCCCGAATTACTACAAAGTAAGTTCCTCTTTGTTCGAAAATAGGTTTTCAAAACGACTATCACCTAACTGCATCGTATTAAGCCTTTCCGTCCGTATCGGATTACTCGTGACCTCACAATCATGCCCGGGGCGACATTATGGATCGAAAGAGGCGTTGAGGTTCATATTTGGCCGAATGTTCGAATCCTTGTGCTAGGAGATCTGATCGCTGATGCCACGTATTGGGAACCGATAAGGTGAGTGCTATGACTACCGATCCACACAGCCTACAGTAAGACCTACCTGCTGAATGGGCCTTTCCGGTTCCGGTTACTCTTCAGCCTTCAGCCGAACTTATATCCAGGTTCAAGCCGATCAATACAACAGAGTTTGACGAGATGCGAGGGAGAATCGGTACAAGGTACAAACGCAGTACAATATACCTCAGACGTCGTAAACGCAGTGACGTTGGGCAGAGAATTCAAAGATGGCAACGAAGGCGAAGAGCCAATCGGTTAGTTTGCTGTACTTTCGGGTTTTCTTTTGCTCAGATGGTACGGGGAATCGTAGTAGATAATGCACAACGGCTTGCACACTCCCGAATCCTCCGAAACGCTCCCAACTTGTATCCCCATGAGACTTATATGTATGGGTCCATTATTATGTCAAAAACATTGTGAGAGGAAAATTCAAAATTGAACCAGCTGTTCGCTGGAGATCTTTCAAACCAATCTACTAATATATCGATTTTCCAAGACTCAAGCAGTTCGTAGGTAAATAACTAAATAGTTCAAAGGGTACATAGGTAAGTACCTGCTTGTGAGTGAGGTAAATATTCGCTCGAGGAGGGAATATATTGCGTGTTTCTTCAAAAAAAAAAACAACATTTTGTTGCTTACTGAACAGATGAACGTGAACACCCTAACACTGCTATTCGCTATCTTTGAGAAGTGACTACCACTTTCGAAGAACTGAAATGACTTTAGACGCAGAAGTTGACAACCCAAAAACGGGTAAGTGCAAAAGTCTTCGCTCTTCAAGGAATTCTGCATTGGGTTTGGGATTAAAAGCAAATGAATTCCTCAGGCCAGTTCTCCAGTTTCTTACTGGCTGATCCCTTCTAACTCCACTGCTTTATCGCGTCGCAGCAGTTTTCTTCAAACCAATCTTCCCAATGGCGTCAATTGATACACGGTTGTTTTTGGTCAAATCCTTCCTCTAGCTATCCTCTTCAGATTCGGATTCGATGACTTTTTTTAAGGTCTTGAAACTTACGTTCTCGAGATCGGCGTTCAGGTTTTCAAAAAGGAAAACTTCGCAAGGAAAACCATCTACACGCCCAAAGCGTTGAGGCCGCAGAAGATACGTGTGTGCACGAAACTTCCAGCTAGTCATTCTCTATATGACTGCCAAGCAGCATATAAATCCTTACTGTACTTGAGAAACAAGTAACGGAAGGAAAAGACTGTTTTACCCCTTTGAGTGATGAATATATGAATGAACTGATAAGAAATCATTTTCGGAGCGGCTGAAGTTGTTTTTCAAGACCAGTCTCAAAGGCTTGTACAATTCTTTCTGAAAACGTGCTATCTCAAAAAATTTCCAGAATAATATAAATTCAGTCTTTGCTTGTTTAGAGCCCGACCGGACGATGTCTACACTCAGTTCCCATTGCTTTATCGTGACGACCCGTACTACCAGCGGTTCACGGTCTCCTTAAGCGACAACAGTACTGTTCGTGGTCGAGCGGGATTCCTTCAGGTAAGCTCGGGTTGCTCATTGCTTTCCTGCTTAATCTCTTATTTTGCAGATCTACAACGCTACCACAGGAGAGACCATTGCTTCATGCGACAGACAGTTCACCGTTCGGAATGCTCAAGTATACTTTTCAATGATATCCAACTCAGACTACAGAAGCTCTCCGAACTCAACCGACAGATTGCGGAAACATCGTATATTATTCGATTATTCTCAGGTAGTCTGCCGAGAACTGGGGCTCGAAACAATGAATGCTTATCACTGGCTAACTCCTCGATGGGATTACAACCCCCAGATTCGACTCGTAAAGACGTACGTCGAGCCTCGAGAATGCCGAGGAAGCGAACCTAGTCTCGACAGGTGCAGTTGATTTCTACATTGTTTTCAGATACGTGCTGGATAATAATCCGTTCGCTACTTCTCGCTTCATTGTTTATGTCAATTCCTCCATTCTTTTCTTTTCTCTCTTTCCCGTATTGTTTCCTGATTTCTACAGCTGAGTTTCTTTGCGATTGTTGAGATTTCCCAAGAGTTTGTCCTTGTTATTAGATGCAACTGCACATCCTTCCCCACTTGGTTCACTGATCGAGGACCATCTTTTTTAAAAAGCCTTTTCGGTATTTTTAATTTCAGATGTCAACTTCGTCTCACAGGAAACGATTCGCAGTGGCAGTGTATGGACAATGAACATTTCAACTACGTCTACTGTGGCCCGAATACGACCTTAGATCAGTGGGTCTCATCTTTCGTCTCATCGCTCTATCCGTAATATTCCAACAATTCTAGAATCTACATTGGCAACTGGGGTGGCCTCAGCTTTGCACGAGCATCACTTGAACTGGACCAACTCCCCGTGAAAGGTTTGGGAAACTTCGTCGCCTGGCCATACTGATGACCCTGAACAGCTTTGCGTTCCAGATGCATCAATACTTCGTAACGTGGAAATCGTTGGTGGCGGTTCTGGTCACAATGACAGTTTCCAGTCAGCTGGACTACAGCTGTTCTATCGTTCGCCATTGGTAGACCACGTGAATGTGACCAACAGCAGTATGCATGCAATTCAGGTACTGGAGTGTCGAAGTAGTAGTAGTGGACACTGAAGACACAGGTTCAGGTACTGTCTCCTCGGGAAAAGGTGATTCTAAATATGGTAAACGTAACGAACAATGGTGGTCTGGGTATAAGCATCACTACGGCTACCGTCCAAGGCGGCAACACGAATGCAGGTTGGTCTTATCGAAAAGAATCAATCCTTATTTACTCTACTTGCACGATTAGTCCTTCTTTTCCCATTCATTGGCGTCAAGAACAGAGCTTGCTTCTTAAAAGCTTTCGGGAAGCTCAATTATTCTTCTCCTCCCACGTGTATTCTTTTCCTTCCACATGGGACATGAAAAGGCAATCGTGGTGCATTTCCCTTTTACAGATACTCCATTTCAACCATTGACCATACCTTATTACTCCCAAGGAATGGTCGATATCTGTGCAGCTGAGAAGATGATGGAGATCAGCAATCGAGTCCTGGTATGATTATCTCTTTATCACTTGGTATCAACTACACAAGCCTTAAAGGTGTTTTAGGTCTATTACAAGTACGACTCGTTCCCTGTTGATTGTATGAAGATTTTCTCATCAGCTGGGCGGACAGTCGCCTTCCGTTTCCTTCAGGTATGCAGCCTAATTACCTCTGAACGGAGAACGTCCGTTGCGCGCGTCCGTCGAAAGTAGGTCACCCCGCCCACTTCGCTCGCGGCGCACCCCACTGAGGTCCCAAGATAACCTTACAGTACCACAAATGTCAGTGGAGCAAACGATTTGCATTCGTCCGTGTTACTTCTCTTTGGTTGACTGCCGTAGACCGAGCGCAATTCGTATGCCCCACAGACAATTGCGACGTTTGACAAAGATCGGCAGACACGCCGCGTGCGACGGCTGCGACGTGACCTGATTTCGACGGACGCGCGCGACGAAGCGCACCCCCTCTGAACCAGTCAGAATTTTCTGAGTTTTATTACAGGTGAACCTCTATTCCTCACCAGCCGATTTGGGAAGATCAGATGCGCTGAGAGTCTACTCTTCTATAGCTTTCCTTCCAATCACGCTTTTGGCTGAATACAGGTCGGTCGATTTCATATTCCCTTCAATTTACCATATTACCAGTCTCATCACCGTCTCTCATAAATCCATCCGAAGGATTCCAATATTCTCGCGTCTGAATTCTTGCAGTGGCTCCTTTCCAGCTTCGGTTGTTTTCAAACATGAAGATTTATGTAACCATCTAAAGGGCAGACAGGATTCCTCATGTCGATAATGTTCCAGCTCGATTGGAAGCCGGCCTTACCTTTCTGAAATAGGAAGAAATTAATAGGTTGAGTAAAAAGCTTCGATCGACTCTTCATCCCTTCCTAGATTCTTTCGTAGGACTCCGTAATGGGTTATGGTAAACCAATCCCTAACCTGTACTTTTAGGGAGTTATATAAGCATTCCCTTGTAAGTGCTTCGCAAATATGGCTTCAACCTTCAACTGTCGTCCGAAGCTGTCCGAGAGCTATCGTCTATCAAGAATTACTGTAAGGGCATAATCCACCGACGGCTGTCGCACATATCTGTGGTGTATCCAGAAAAGTCATCGTATCTCAACCCACGGGTGCCACGTGACGGAACATCTTCAAGACAAGCAGAGAAAAGGACTACATTCGAAGAAGGTCTTACTGTGCCGTCGGTGGGATTTTCAGGGAAAACTCTACTTTACTTCGGAAAACTGAGTGTTCCACCGTAACCGCCGAGGTTCACGCTTCTCAGTACACAGTTAGGCCGGCGTTGTTCGAAGAAAGCGTCCGTCAGCGTTTTCCTTTTTCACGACAGCGCTCAACCGCATGTTGCGGAATTGTTTTGTCAGTAAATTGCCGAACTCGGAAAAGAAGTGCTGCCCCATTCTCCTTATTCGCCAGGTCTCGCTTCGTCTGATTACCATTTGTTTCTTGTTGCGAAACCACCTTCGCGATAGAAATTCTGATGATTGCTCGGAAATCAAAAATGAGATCTCCATATCGTTCGTCGGATCGTTAGACATATATTGGGGACAACGATGGGGACCATATTACTAATTGAGATCCTCTTTCAATGGAAATAAACTTTCCAAAGTGCAGATTGAAAAACCGATCAGAACTTTTTACTCACCTAATATTTCTTTAATATAAAGTGGAGCTGCAAAGCCAATCTGTGCAGCTTTTCGAGAGAAGCCGTCCAATGATCGAGGAAATCGATAGAGCTCAATAAGTATTGAGAAAAGTGAGTTTCTCAATAGTTCTTAGTTCATCACCTTTTGTGATAAGCAGAGAGTGCAGAACTATGACGGACTGTGAGACGGTCTTTGAAGAATCGTTATATATATATAACACGCCAAGTGTATCTTGTGTATGTGTGTGTTTGTGTATTTGTGTATGCGTGCGAGTGGGTGGGGGTGTTAGAGTGTGTATGATGTGTTTTTGTATGTGTGTGTGAGTGTGTGTGTGTGTGGTGAGTGGGTGAGTGGGTGAGTGTGTGTATGATGTGTATGCGTGAGTGTGTGTGTGGTTAGTGGGTGAGTGAAAGTGTATGTATGTATGTGTGTATGTATATATGTGTGTATGTATGTACGTATATAGGTTGTGAGTGGTGTGTGTATGTGTATATATACATATGTGTGTGTTTGTGTGTGTTCGATCGGGAATTCACAACAACTGTTCCCTTGGACACAAAGCGTTCAAACTTGATAAGTGGACAGGTGGCAGGATGGGAAAATTAGCTGCAAGTGTAGAGCTCGATTCTGTCTGCGGAGGACGTGGTGTGCACGATACTTTGTGCTTGTGAAATAACTCATTTTGGAGAAATTTGATATGTGTATGGGCTCCGTGGGGAATCGTTAACATAAGTTGTCTTGGACTAGAGGGTCCAAATTTGGAAGAATGCAGGCGCCGGGTCAACTTTCATATGAAAAGGGGGAAAGCCTAGCGTGAGCCAGTTGACCAGGCTGGCTAGTTATGGAGTTGTTGAACTACAAA